AAATCACAAAATATATTTATTTGAGAGTGTATATTACAACTTCGAAATGTAATATTTTATATATATTTACTATCAATTAAGCATTAATTACTAATCTTAACATATTTGTAATAATTTATAATATATTCAATTTAATTTTATTAAGTGTTACCGTAATTAATAAGTGAGAGAATAACTGGGTCTGTGTTTTTTTATAATAGTTGATATGACATCCTTTAATGATTGGTATTTGTAATTATTTATTTTTTTTAAAATAAATTATTTCTTATTTTTCTTAAAATAAGTACATAAATGAATATTGAATAATATATCAAATCGTCATATTAAATTAATTAAATCTGATAATTATGATTAATATTATTGATTGTGTCCGTTTCTATTCCTAACCTTAATGTTATTTTCTCTTGTATCAATATAAATTTGTGCACAATTGGTTATGCATTTTTCAAAAAGACTTTGAGTGAATATTAATGCTATAGTTTCTTCTAATTTGGTTATAAATTTATTTTTCAATACTTTTGTCACTCTCATATATAATTCTCATGGTAAGAAAATATAAATATATTATATGTGTTTCTGATTTAAAGTTTATATAAAATTATCAAAATTTTAATAGTCACTTTGTTAATATTCGGTAACTATTTATGTTATAATAATTACTTCACCCTCTTTATTTTTGACAAGAAACTATTTTTATCGAGTTCATTTTTCTTTTATTAGTGCTTGACAATCTTCATTTTTCTTTACTATCTTTTTATTTATATGTTGATCAAAAGGGTTTGAGCAATTGAGAGTTTCATCATATATTTGAAAGGTATAATTTAAAATGGAAAGAGATGAATATTTCTATTTAGTGTCATATTATTATTGTTTGCTAATAATTTAATATATTTGTTAGATAGTCCAAACATTTCATAGACGCATTCAATATCATTTTTTTTTACTTTCTACGGATCAACTAAGTAATAATATTTTGATATGTTCTAAAAATATATAATTTGAGTTATAATACTAGCTTTATAATCTTATTACTATTCTTCAATAGGTTATGTTTTAATAATGTAATTAAAACGTACTTATCGTCGAAAATAGATTTTTTAAACGTTAAAGGTACACTTGAAGGTATGTCTATATTAGGAAGGATTTACCAAAAAAATTATTTACAGTTTGTGCTTCCCATAAAAAGAAAAAGAAAGTGAAGTATTTTAAAATAGTTCAATCATAATGAGTTCATTTTTATAAAATGTATAATTTTTATTTAATTTGTTCGTATCTAGGATTGTCATAGGAGCAATAAAATCTTAAGGTGTTTCTACGATTCCATCAACAAATTATTGTGATTAGTTTCTGTCGATGATCTTTTAAATCTTATGTTCACACTTATGATTGTTAATATATTTACTTCCATTTTAGATTAAATTGATTAGAGTTAATTATAAATTCAATTAATGTTTTTATGACTGTGTGAAGCATAGTCAAAATTCACTAGTATTAATAATAAACTAAGTAAGACTGGTCAACGGAACGGGACGTATCGGTATCGTTCCGGTACCATTTCGGTTCGTTCCGGTTCGTCCCGTTTCGGTTGCCTACGGACGGGATGGGATAGTCTGAACCGGTATACGGAACGGGACGGAATCGTAATTTCGTACCGGTGTACCGGTACCGATTCATCCCGGTTCATTCCGATTTCGTTCCGGTTCCGGATCGGTTTATTTAATATATATTAATTTTTTTATATTTTATATTTTATATAATTTATATTTATATTTTTTATAAATTATTTTTATATTTTTTGACACTTATTATTTTATAAATATAACTTATAAAATAAATATTAATGAATATAAGTAATAACTTATAAAGTATAAATTTCAAAAGATTTAAATTTTAAAAACTTTAGTGGACTTTACTTGCAAACTTAACAACAACAACAAAATTAATAAAATATCTTTAAAATAAACTTAAGTAAAAAATTACAGTATAAATTTTTAAAAACTATTAATTTATACTTAAAAAAATTAAAAAAAATTATATTTTCGTAATTCCAAAAAATATCGTTCCGTTTATCCCGTCCCCTTCCATCCCGATCCGTTCCGGTTCCATCCCGGTATATAGTGGAACGGGACGGAATCGATGAATCATCCCGGTAATTCCGATCCGGTTCATCCCGCTACCGGTCAACATACCGGTCAACGGGTTTCGGTCCGGTCCGGTGAACCGGTTCCGGTCCGTTGACCAATCTTAAAACTAAGTATAGAATCTGACATCTTTTTATGACCAGCATTTAAATTTATCTTTATTCTCCTTTTCTTTTGACATCGTTTCTGATTTTAATTACAGTTTTAATTGATTTTTGCTATTAACTAATTAAAGTCCTATTCATAAAATTCAATTAAATATGAAATTGCAGTAAACCCTCAATTGAATGTGATGATAGCTGAAAAGTATCGATTTTTTATCTAACACCACTCCCAGGCAGTCTACAACTCTTTGCAAACTTGAGCCTTACACTCACACGAATTTAACTAAGTATAAAAATTCTTTACTTAGTATTATTTAAGGTAATAATAATTGTAACAACATAGCCAACGTATGAAAACTCTTACCAACCTTTTATTCATAATATATCAATAAAGGATCAGGCTTCATAAATTCGTCAAGACCAGATTCGTTCTTCTTTGCTATAGAAGAATTTCTGCCCTTTATAACTTTTCTGCATATGGCAGTTACAAACGACAGTTACAAACGACACCTGTCTGACACTTGTCATCACAGGATTTAAACTAATGTTTCCAATAGCTATATTTCTAACAGATAAAATATAATTCAAATTAATCGTTATCCAAACGAATTAACAATATTCTAACACTTAGAATATTTCAGCCTACATTCCAACACTTAGAATATTTCAGTCTGCTTCCAACACTTAGAATAATTCAGTTGTCCTCCAACACTTAGTTTTATTTCAGTAATCCATGTGAATGTCTTTGTCTTGCCATCATCAAGTCTTCAAAACTTTGCTTTTTCAAGCCAAAACACTGCCTTTCCGATGACTCTTGCACACACGTAAGCCTTGCATGTTCAAGCTACTTTGCCAACACCAGAGCACCTTGAACCTTTGTTGCACTGTTTTACCCCATGAATGCCAAGAGCAATGCTCAAGTCCTTGTCATGCCTGCACATAGTTAGATCAACTAGTTTACGGGTCTAACAGACCACCCGCACCACTTGAACTCGATGTTCTCATCGAGTCTGTTTTATGGTAGTCATCAATTTAAGCATCAAACTGTCATAAGTCCTTTGATTTCTCCCAAACTGCATCAGCTGCACTCTTGCCTTTCCAATGAATCAACAATTTTATCTTTGTATTCTTCTTACTTGTGCCCAAAATCCAATGATCCAGGATCTTCTCAATTTCAGCATCAAACTGTGTAGGTACTGATGGAGGAGCCCTCTTTGATTTGTTCCTGTACGGTAGATGATCTACAAAGTAAGGTTTCAAGAAACTCACATGAAAAGTGGGATGAATCTTTAATCTTTTTGGTAGGTTCAACCTATATGCAACTTTGCCCACTCGTTTCACTACTTCAAATGGACCATCATACTTAGGAATCAAACCTCGATGCCTAGTATCACTTGCAATCTGTTTCCAGATTTGTGGAGTAAGTTTCATCAACACTTTGTCACCCACATTAAATCAATTGAGCGACGATGTTGATCAGCCTACTTCTTCATGCGCCACTGAGCCTTGCGCAAGCTATCTTGTGCTTCAAACAACATTTCAAGTATGTCCCTTGCAACCCTGTGCGCTGCTGGACACTTTTCTTGATTTTTAGACTTAGCAACATCCAATGGCGTCGTAGCCTGTTTGCCTAAAATGATTTCAAAAGGGCTAATTTCTGTTACAAACGACTTGTGCAGATTATAACAAAACTGCGTAGTGTCTAACAACGCAACCCAATTCTGTTGACTTGCTGTTACATAATGCATCAAGTATTCCTCTAATAAGTGATTGATCCTTTCCGTCTATCCATCTGTTTGTGGATGATTTGCAGTAGAAAATTTCAACTCAATTTCCATCATATTAAAAAATATTGTCCAAAACCTGCTTGTGAACCTTGTATCCCCATCACTCACAATGTCGGCCAGAACACCAAAGTATTTAACCACATATTTATAGAATAAATCAACAGCAATCTCATATGAACACAATTCAGGTGTAGCAATGATAACAGAATATTTTAAGAACCTGTCTACTACCACCATTATCGATGCTTTGTCGTCTACCTTAGGAAATTCAGAAATGAAATCCATACTTACTAATAATCAAGGCATTTCAAGAATAGACAAAGGTTGCGGTAAACCAGCTTCCTTTTTACGTTCACTCTTGTCTACTTGACAGACATGACAAGTCTTCACGCATGCTTCTATGTTATCATCCATCTTTGGCCAGAAATAAACACGAGACAGTAGAGCCAACATTCTTTCAACACCCGGATGTCCAACCCAAGCGGAATTATGTGCTTCCTTCATCATGTCTTTGTGCAGTCCACCCTAATTTGGTACGACTATCCTTTCCCCTTTAAAATAGAGCAGATCATCCTCGATCTAATACCGTTTTAGTGTCCCATCTTGCACTTGACCCATCCACTTAACATATAATGAGTCATTTGCAGCACACAACCTGATTTTATCAAAGAAATCAGTCTCAAGTTTTGAAATTTAATATACTGCAGCAAATACCTCTTTCCAACTCAATGCATCAGCAACCTGGTTGTGTTTCCCTCAGCTTATGTTCCCACACAAAATCATATTCTGCCAAAAACTCTTGCCATCTTTCTTGTTTTGGACTCAATTTATTTTGTGTTTGAAAAATATACTGGCTACATTATCAGTTCTAACAACAAATCAAGTCCCTAAGAGATACTCTCCAAACCTATAGACAGTGTACAACAACAACCATTTTCTTCTCATGTGTCGAATATCTTTGCTCAGCATCATTCAGTTTTCGACTTTCGAAGTGTCACATGATGACCTTCCTGTACTAACACGCCTCCAATAGCCTTATCAGACACATTAGTATGTACTTCAAATGGCAATTCAAAATCAGGCAACTTTAATATGGGTTCAGATGTAATAGCTTCCTTTAAATTTTTAAAAGCTTCTTTATATCGTACAATCCATATCCATTTAGCATCTTTCTTCAACAAGTCAGTCAGAGTCGCTGCCCTTTTTGAATAACCCACAATGAACTTTCTGTAATAGTTAGCCAACCCAAGAAACAATCGCAAATCCTTAACATTTCTTAGTGCTTGCCAGTCAACAAATGCCTGCACTTTCTTAGGATCAATTTGAACTTGGTTTTTACTAACAATATGCCCCAGAAGTTTTATTTCTTGTTGAGCGAATTCACACTTTTCCATTTTAACATAAAGTGTATATTTCCTCAACTGCGACAACATCATACTTAAGTTATTGACATGTTCATCCAATGTTCAACTATAGATAACAATATCATCACGATAGATGACTACAAAATCATCAAGATAGTCAAACAACACATTGTTCATTAAGTTTCAAAAGGTAGACGGGGCATTGGTTAGCCCAAATGGCATTACAAGAAATTCATAAGAACTATATGTAGTTACACATGTTGTCTTGGGTTCATCACCTTCTTCTATTCTAACCTGCAGTAGCCTGCCCTAAGATCAAGTTTCGTGAACCAGCATGCTTTTCTCAACATGTCCATCAAATCTTGCACCAACGGAATCGAATACTTATTCTTCACAGTTGCATTGTTCAGCGCCCTGTAATCCACACACATTCTCATCGTTCCATCCTGTTTCTTTTGGAACAAAACAGGAGCACCATATATAGCCTTATATGGTTGAATCAGACCAGTATCCAACAATTCATTTTATTGTTTCCGCAATTCAACCATGTAATTTGCAGTTTTGATGATTTGACAAACTCAGGGACCTTGTAAAGGTACCAGGTTTCTTACTTGAGTTTTGAAGATGAAACAAACTCAGGGACCTTGTAAAGGTACCAGGCTCCCAATGTGACGAGCCGGTTGGCTGCTAGCTGGAGAAGGTACAGAAAGTAGGTGCACTCTTCCCAACGACATCAGAAAGTCAGACTTCTCCAACCAATGGCAAAAAGTTTAAGGAAAGTGACTTGTACATATAAAATTCACTTTCCTAAACATCATTGGTAGTTTTTGCAACTTGACAAAGAATTTTTCAAGAACACTTGCGAAGACTATCAGCAAACAAACGGTAGAATTATTCAAACAACAGTAGAAATCTTTGGAGCATCTAGTGTAGTTGTTTAAGAATATATTCTCTTGGTCTTACATTGTAAACTATTGCTGAAACTATGAAGGAATCAGTGGGTAGTATTGAAATTCTAAGTTGTCTAGGTGGGATAGCTTAGTGGGTAGATTTATTTCTTCTTAGGCTTGTTAAGCAATAGAGATTATTGCTTGAACGTGAGATTAAAAACTTTTTCTCACATTTGTTGTAATCGTGTTTCACTTTTGCTTGTGAAGATTAGTGAAAACGATTGAAAATCCTGTGAGACAGGTCATGATTTTACTCCTTTAAGCAAGGAGGTTTCCACGTAAAATCATTTTGTTGTTTAAACTGCATTTAACTTTCTGTTTATACTTATTAGTGTGTCAAGGGACCTGGTCCATTGACTGATAAGTGAAGGCACATATTCTATCAAATGGTATCAAAGCAGGTACTCTCTATTTGGTTAACCCCAAGGAAGTGATATCTGTTCTAGAATGGCTGCTCCACTTAATCTAGAAGAAGGTCAGTCCTCAACAAGACCTCCTCGTTTCAATGGACATTTCTACAGTTGGTGGAAAGTTAGAATACATGATTTCCTCATGGCTGAAGATAGTGAGCTATGGGATATCGTAATAGATGGACCATTTATTCCAATGATAGAATAAAAGGATGGAGAGAAAACCAGGCATGTTCCAAAGCCTAGATAAAAATATGTTGAAGCTGATAGAAAGAAGATAGAAAAGGGATACAAGGCAAAAACTCTTCTTGTCTGTGGGATAGGACCTGATGAGTTCAATCGTGTCTCAGCTTGTGAGTCTGGCAAAGAAATTTGGGATTGTTTAAAAAAAGCTCATGAAGGAACTGAAAAAGTCAAGGAATCAAAGATTGATATGCTCACCTCTTTGTATGAAAACTTCAAGATGAAGGAAGGAGAAACAATTCATGAGATGTTCACAAAATTGTCCTCTATTACCAATATCGCTACGATGTCTTGGGGAACCTATAGCTATAAGTATGAGCAAGCAAGTCAGAAAAGTTCTTCGAATTTTTCCAAAGTCTTGGGAAAGCAAGGTTGATGCCATTTCTGAAGCCAAAGATTTAAAGATGCTGACAATGGATGCTCTCATTGGAAATCTGAAGACTCATGAGATGAATCGAAATCATGATTTGTCAAAGAAGGAAGTTAAAAAGGATAAGTCCTTGATGCTGAAATACAAATCTGATGAAGACTCCAGTGATGATGATATGACTTATCTCATCAATAGATTTCAAAAATTTGTGAGAAAGAACAAAGGTTTTAGAAGAGGAACGAATGGTCCTGGAAATGCTACTCAAAATGATACCTGCTACAAGTGTGGAAAAGCTGGACACTTTATTAAAGAGTGTCCTCTACTCAAAACTAAAAACAGGGAATATCAAAAACCAAGAATTGACAAAGAGAAGAGAAGGGACCTGGTACTCGATAAAAATGATCGCAAAGCTGCTGCTGACTATGTGGTCAAAAAGGCTCTTGCTGCATGGAGAGACTCTTCAAGTGACTCAGAAGACCCTGATGAACCAAATGATGCGTCTATGGTGGCGGTTCATGAAGAGGAAACCATATTCAATGAAATGCTCATACAGAAAATGAAGAAAAGGATGACAAGGTAACTCTTCTCGATATGAAACATGATCTGAATAATTATTCTCTTAAATAAATGAGAACATTAGCAAACGTTATGATTTATTCAATAATTGAGTTAACCTCTGAAAGAGACATTATGAATGTTGAACTTGACAGTTTGACTGAAAACAAGGTTAAACTGGAGGAGAAAATGTCAAAAATGGTGTCTCTAGAGTCTAATAACACTGGACTTAAAAAACAGTTAAATCAGATAAATGAAGAAGCTGAAAAGCTAAATGGAAGGTCAAATGGTTTACAAGTTGAAATTGAAGAAAAACTGAAAATCAATGAGAAAAATCTGGGATTGTCTTTGGAGAAGAGCAACAAATTAGAAAAGGATATCGTCAAACTTAAGGAAGAACTTGAAAAATCTCTTAAGTGGACAAAATCCTCTAAGTTGTTGTCAAATGCAACAAATCAGAGTAATTTCAATAAGAAAGGCCTAGGAAGTTTGAATATCACTCCTCATTTTAACCCTTAAGAAAGTATGTATTTGTGTCTGACAATCTGCTTTGTCTTCATTGTGGCAAAAATGGGCACTTAAAGGGAGAGTGTGCTGGCTGGAGATATTCTCATGAAAGACTCTCTAATTATGCTGAAAGGCAAAAAATATCAAAAGAGAGACCTGGTCCTCCAAAACCTATTTCAACTGATAGATTTTCAAAGAAAAAATCTGTCACTGTTACAATGTCCTTTGTTAGAAAGTTTCAAAAACTGCCCTATTGGACTAGATACAATCTGATCACTCCTTTGTCTGCCTTCTGGGAACTCAAATTGAAATGAGTTCCCAAGCTAAACAAGTGATTCTTGGTGCAAGTGAGTGAGAGGAGCAGCAGTCAATGTTGGTATATGGACAATAGATGCTCTAAACATATGACTGGTGACATCAAAAATTTCCTCTCACTCAAGACACTTCAGAGAGGAGGTGTCTCTTTTGGTGATGGAAAGAAGAGGTACATTTTGGGAGTTGGTAAAGTGGGAAAGTCTCTTGAAGATTCAATTGACAATGTGTATCATGTTGATGGGTTGAAGTATAGTTTTTTGAGTGTGTCTCAAATTTGTGACAAGGGAAATGAAGTCAAGTTTACTTCTAAGAAGTGCACTGTGGTTAGTCTAACTACAAAGAAGGTGATTCTCACTGCTTTCAGAAGTAAAAACATGTATGTGGCCAACTCAGAAACGTCTCATGGAGATGATCTGACATGTCTTAGTGCTCAAAATGAAAATGCTGATCTTTGGCATCGTAGGCTAGGGCATGTGAGCTCATCTTTATTGAATAAACTGATTTCTAAGGACCTGGTCCAAGGTCTGCCAAAGTTGAAGTTTGTTAAAAATAAAATTTGTGAAGCTTGTGTCAAAGGAAAACAAATCAGATCATCCTTTAAGCCAAAGAAGCAAGTAACCTCATCAAGAAGACTGGAGCTGTTACACATGGACTTATGTGGACCTTTGAAGGTTCAAAGCAGAAATGACAAGAAATACATTCTGGTGATGGTTGATGATTACTCAAGATATACATGGACAAGATTCCTAAAATCAAAAGCAGAAACACCTGAAGAATTGGTGGTTCTCAAAATGATTCAAACTAAATTTAATCAAGTGATTTGTGGCATTCGATCTGATCATGGAACTGAGTTTGAGAACTCAAAACTGGATCAATTTTGCATGGAGAATGGTACTAGTCATAACTTTTCTGCTCCAAGATCTCCTCAACAAAATGGAGTGGTGGAAAGAAAAAACAGAACCTTGGTGAACATTACCAGAACCATGATCATTGAGTCAAATCTTCCACAAAGTTTCTGGGCTGAAGCTGTCAACATAGCTTGTCATGTTACCAACAGGTGTTTGATAAGAGCTGTTTTAAATAAGACCCCCTATGAGCTGCTCAACAACAAAAAGCCTATGCTGTGCTATCTTAGGGCATTTGGGTGTAGATGTTTTGTGCTGAACAATGAAAAGGATGATCTGGGAAAATTTGATCCTAGAAGTGATGAAGGAGTGTTAGTTGGATATTCTTCATCGAGTAAAGCATACAAAATATTCAACAAAAAAACTCAGTGTATTAAAGAAAGCATTTATGTTGTTTTTGATGAAGATGGAAACTTAAAAAGCAGTGGATCAAATGATGAAGATGATGTGATCAAGCTGTTCAATTCACAGAAAATTGAAGGAAGTGAAACTGATGCAGAACAACAGTTGAAAAATGACTTTGATGATCAAACTCATAGTCTACCTGAAAAGGCTGATGAAGTGGAAAAGTGTGATTAGGTATCTGGTACTACTCTTAATTCCAGTCAGAGAACATCAAACTCCCCAGAAAATGATGACACCCTTGATGAAGAAGAACATGTCGATCAGCTCAACCAGTCTGCTCTAAGACCAGGATGGAAACATAGTTTATCACATCCTCTTGATAATCTTATCTCTTTCTCGAACTCTGGAATTCATAGTAGATCAAAAACAAGAAATCTAGTTGCATTTTCAGCATTCATATCATCTATTGAGCTCAAGAATGTGAAAGAGGCATTAAGTGATGCAGATTGGATCAACTCAATGCAAGATGAACTTCATCAGTTTGAAAGAAGCAAGGTATGGTACCTGGTTCCTCGACCTGCAGTCAGAACAGTAATAGGAACCATATGGGTGTTCAGAAACAAGCTCGATGAAAATGGAGTGATCACTAGAAACAAATCCAGGTTGGTGGTTCAAGGATACAATCAAGAAGAAGGAATAGACTATGATGAGACTTTTGCACCTGTTGCCAGGATGGAGGCCATTAGAATTCTAATAGCTTTTGCTGTATTCATGGGATTCAAGCTGTATCAAATGGATGTCAAAAGTGCATTTCTGAATGGAGATCTGAAAGAGGAGGTATTTGTCAAACAACCTCCTGGGTTTGAAGATGCTAAGCTACCAGATCATGTGTACCGATTGAATAAGGCTCTGTATGGCTTGAAACAGGCTCCTAGAGCATGGTATGAAAGACTGTCAAAGTTTCTGCTGAAAAATGGTTTCAAAAGAGGAAAGATAGACAATACTCTCTATTCTTATTAAAAAGAGAACAAGAATTGCTTATTATTCAAGTTTATGTGGATGATAAAATTTTTGGAGCTACTTTAGAACATTTGTGTGAAGAATTCTCATCATTAATGGGAAAGGAATTTCAAATGAGCATGATGGGTGAATTGACATTCTTCCTTGGTTTACAAATCAAGCAATCATCAAATGAGATTTCAATCTATCAGGAGAAGTACATCAAGGAGCTGCTGAAGAAATTCAATATGTTCAATTCCAAACCTATTGATACTCCAATGGGAACAAATTCCAAGCTTGTCGTAGAGGAATCTGATCCTCTTGTGAATCAAACCATGTATAGGGGAATCATTGGATCTTTGCTTTATCTGACTGCTAGCAGGCCTGATATTGTCTATAATGTTGGAATGTGTGCCAGATTTCAAGCATGTCCTCGTGACTCACACTTGAAGGATGCAAAACGTATTCTAAGATATTTGAAGAAAACAGGGGACCTGGTTCTTTTCTATCCAGCAGGTGACACCTTTGACTTAGTTGGCTTTGTAGATGCTGATTTTGCTGGTTATCAAGTTGACAGGAAGAGTACCTCTGGAATGGCTCATTTTCTTGGATCTTCACTAATTTCTTGGGGAACCAAGAAATATAATTATGTGGCTCTTTCAACTGTTGAAGCTAAGTATGTAGCAGCAGCAGCCTGCTGTTCACAGTTGTTATGGGATCAAGCAACAGTTGGAGGATTTTGGTATAAACATCAAAGCTATTCCTCTTATGTGCGACAATACTAGTGCTGTTAGTATGGGAAAAAATCCAGTTCACCATAAGACAACAAAGCATATTGATGTTAGACATCACTTTCCGAGAGACCATGTTGAAAAGGGGAATATTGTGCTTACATATTGTCCAACGGAGGAGAAAATTGCAGACATCTTCACCAAGGCTCTCAGTAAAGATCAATTTGAGAGAAATAGGCTGAAGTTGGGTATGATGATCTCTAAGTGATGTCCATAGCTTCCAACACTTGAATTCCCTTGATGACTAAATTTGCAGTGCAGGTATCCTTTGGTTAATAATTAAATATCTGATTAAGATCATTTTTGTACCTTTTGTAGGTATATTTTCAGGAAGGACTGGACTAGCAAAGACATGACTAGAACAACTGGAGAATGAGGATAAAACTGTCTCATGGTACCTGGTGGCTATCCAGGTTAGCATTTGTACATTAATTTTAAACTGAAAATTATGACCGTTGATAATGCCACGTGTAAGTCATCGGTCATTCTGACCGTTAGTCCCATTGCTTGTCACTCAAGCGACACGTCAAATCACAGACCTGGCACCGTTTCAAGTCTTTTTAAACCCTCTTTACTCCTTTTTGAAATTCTCATCCGTCCTTTAACATTCCTTCTGCTTAAAAAGGGAATCAAGTAAAAGGGAATCTGACATCTTTTTATGACCAACTTTTGAATTTATCTTTATCCTCCTTTTCTTTTGACATTGTTTCTGATTTTAATTACAGTTTAAATTGATTTTTGCTATTAACTAATTAAAGTCCTATTCATAAAATTCAATTAAATATGAAATTGCAGTAAACCCTCAATTGAATGTGATGGTAGCTTAAAAGTATCGATTTTTTTTATCTAACACCACTCCCATGCAGTCTACAACTCTTTGCAAACTTGAGCCTTACACTCACACGAATTTAACTAAGTATAAAAATTCTTTACTTAATATTATTTAAGGTAATAATAATTGTAACAACATAGCCAACGTATGGGAACTCTTACCAACCTTTTATTAATAATAAATCAATAAAGGATAAGGCTTCATAAATTCGTCTAAGGCCAGATTTACTCTTCTTTGCTATAGAAGAATTTCTACCCTTTATAACTTTTCTGCACATGACAGTTACAAACGACAGTTACAAACGACACTTGTCTAACACTTGTCATCACAGGATTTTAACTAATGTTTCCAATAGCTATATTTCTAACAGATAAAATATAATTCAAATTAATCGTTATCCAAACGAATTAACAATATTCTAACACTTAGAATATTTCAGCCTACATTCCAACACTTAGAATATTTCAGCCTGCTTCCAACACTTAGAATATTTCAGTTGTCCTCCAACACTTAGTTTTATTTCAGTAATCCGTGTGAATGCCTTTGTTTTGCCATCATCAAGTCTTCAAAACTTGCTTTTTCAAGCCAAAACACTGCCTTTCCGATGTCTCTTGCACACACGTAAGCCTTGCATGTTCAAGCTACTTTGCCAACACCAGAGCACCTTGAACCTTTGTTGCACTATTTTACCCCCATGAATGCCAAGAGCAATGCTCAAGTCCTTGTCATGCCTGCACATAGTTAGATCAACTAGTTTACGGGTCTAACAGACCACCCGCACCACTTGAACTCGATGTTCTCATCGAGACTGTTTTATGGTAGTCATCAATTTAAGCATCAAACTGTCATAAGTCCTTTGATTTCTCCCAAACTGTATCAGCTGCACTCTCGCCTTTCCAATCTATCAAGAATTCTATCTTTGTATTCTTTTTACTTGTGCCCAAAACCCAATGATCAAGGATCTTCTCAATTTCAGCATCAAACTGTGTAGGTACTGATAGAGGATCCCACTTTGATTTGTTCTTGTCCGGTAGATGATATGCAAAGTAAGGTTTCAAGAAACTCAAATGAAAAGTGGGATGAATCTTTAATCTTTTTGGTAGGTTCAACCTATATGCAACTTTGCCCACTCGTTTCACCACTTCAAATGGACCATCACACTTAGGAATCAAGCCTCGATGCCTAGTCTTACTTGCAATCTGTTTCCAGATTTGTGGAGTAAGTTTCATCAACACTTTGTCACCCACATTAAACTCAATTGAGCGACGATGTTGATGAGCCTACTTCTTCATGCGCCGCTGAGCCTTGCGCAAGCTATCATATGCTTCAGACAACATTTCAAGTCTGTCCCTTGGAACCCTGTACGCTGCTGGACACTTTCCTTGATTTTTAGACTTAGCAACATCAAATGGCGTCGTAGGCTATTTGCCTAAAATGATTTCAAAAGGGCTAATTTCTGTTACAGACGACTTGTGCAGATTATAACAAAACTGCGTAGTATCTAACAATGCAACCCAATTCTGTTGACTTGCTGTTACATAATGCATCAAGTATTCCTCTAATAAGTGATTAATCCTTTCCGTCTGTCCATCTGTTTGTGGATGATTTGCAGTAGAAAATTTCAACTCAATTTCCATCATATTGAAAAATATTGTCCAAAACCTGCTTGTGAACCTTGTATCCCTATCACTCACAATGTCGGCTGGAACACCAAAGTATTTAACCACATATTTATAGAATAAATCAACAGCAATCTGATATGAACACAATTCAGGTGCAACAATGATAACAGAATATTTTAAGAACCTATCTACTACCACCATTATCGATGCTTTGTCATCTACCTTAGGAAATCCACAAATGAAATCCATACTTACTAAGAATCAAGGCATTTCAAGAATAGACAAAGGTTGCGGTAAACCGACTTCCTTTTTACGTTCATTCTTGTCTACTTGACAGACATGACAAGTCTTCACGCATGCTTCTATGTTATCATCCATCTTTGGCCAGAAATAAACACGAGACAGTAGAGCCAACATTCTTTCAACACCCGGATGTCCAACCCAAGCGAAATCATGTGCTTTCTTCATCAAGTCTTTGCGCAGTCCACCCTGATTTGGTACGACTATTCTTTCCCCTTTAAAATAGAGCAGATCATCCTCGATCTAATACCGTTTTAGTGTCCCATCTTGCACTTGACCCATCCACTTAACATATAATGAGTCATTTGCAGCACACAATCTGATTTATCAAAGAAATCAGTCTCAAGTTTTGAAATTTAATATACTGCAGTAAATGACTCTTTCCAACTCAATGCATCAGCAACCCGGTTGTTTTTCCCCCAGCTTATGTTCCCACACGAAATCATATTCTACCAGAAACTCTAGCCATCTTGCTTGTTTTGGACTCAATTTATTTTGTGTTTGAAAAATATACTGGCTACATTATCAGTTCTAACAACAAATCAAGTCCCTAAGGGATAGACTCTCCAAACCTATAGACAGTGTACAACAACAACCATTTTCTTCTCAACCATTTTCTTCTCATGTGTCGAATATCTTTGCTTAGCATCATTCAGTTTTTGACTTTCGAAGTGTCACATTATGACCTTCCAGTACTAATACGCCTTCAATAGCCTTATCAGACGCATTAGTATGTACTTCAAATGGCAATTCAAAATCAGGCAACTTTAATATGGGTTCAGATGTAATAGCTTCCTTTAAATTTTTAAAAGCTTTTTCATATCGTACAACCCATATACATTTAGCATCTTTCTTCAACAAGTCAGTCAGAGTCGCTGCCCTTTTTAAATAACCCGCAATAAACTTTCTGTAATAGTTAGCCAACCCAAGAAACGATCGCAAATCCTTAACATTTCTTGGTGCTTGCCAGTCAACAAATGCCTGCACTTTCTTAGGATCCATTTGAACTAGGATTTTACTAACAAGATGCCCCAGAAGTTTTATTTCTTGTTGAGCGAATTCACACTTTTTCATTTTAACATAAAGTGTGTATTTCCTCAACTGAGACAACATCATACTTAAGTGATTGACATGTTCATCCAATGTTTGACTATAGATAACAATATCATCACGATAGACGACTATAAAATCATCAAGATAGTCAAACAACACATTGTTCATTAAGTTTCAAAAGGTAGACAGGGCATTGGTTAGCCCAAATGGCATTACAAGAAATTCATAAGAACTATATGTAGTTACACATGTTGTCTTAGGTTCATCACCTTCTTCTATTCTAACCTGCAGTAGCCTGCCCTAAGATCAAGTTTCGTGAACCAGCATGCTTTTCTCAACATGTCTATCAAATCTTGCACTAACGAAACCGAATACTTATTCTTCACAGTTGCATTGTTCATCGCCCTATAATCCACACACATTCTCATCGTTCCATCCTGTTTATTTTGGAACAAAATAGGATCACCATATATAGCCTTATATGGTTGAATCCAACCAGCATCCAATAATTCATTTAATTGTTTCCGCAATTCAACCATGTTATTTGCAGTTTTGATGATTTGACAAACTCAGGGACCTTGTAAAGGTATCAGGTTTCTTACTTGAGTTTTGAAGATGAAACAAACTCAGGGACCTTGTAAAGGTACCAGGCTCCCTATGTGACGAGCCGGTTGACTGCTAGCTGGAGAAGGTACATAAAGTAGGTGCACTCTTCCAAACGACGTCAGAAAGTCACACTTCTCCAACCAATGGCAATGAGTTTAAAGAAAGTGACTTGTCCATATAAAAGTCACTTTCTTAAAGATCATTGGTAGTTTTTGCAACTTGACAAAGAATTTTTCAAGAACACTTGCAAAGACTATCAGCAAACAAACGGTAGAATTATTCAAACAACAGCAGAAATATTTGGAGCATCTAGTGTAGTTGTTTAAAAATATATTCTCTTGGTCTTACATTGTAAACTATTGCTGAAACTATGAAGGAATCAGTGGGTAGTATTGAAATTCTAAGTTGTCTAGGTGGGATTGCTTAGTGGGTAGATTTATTTCTACTTAGGCTTGTTAAGCAATAAAGATTATTGCTTGAACGTGAGATTAAAAACTTCTTCTCACATTTTTTGTAATCGTGTTTCACTTTTGCTTGTGAAAATTAGTGAAAACGATTGAAAATCCTGTAAGACAGGTCGTGGTTTTACTCCCTTAAGCAAGGAGGTTTACACGTAAAGTCGCTGTGTTGTTTAAACTGCATTTAACTTTCTGCTTATACTTATTAGTGTGCCAAGGGACCTGGTCCATTGACTGATAAGTGAAGGCACATATTCTATCAAATCAATTCCTTAGGATCCATACGATAAGGAGCCTGTGCAGGAGCAATCGTACCTGGCAGCAACTCAATCTTATGATCAATATTCTTCCTTGGTGGCAAAGTCTTTGGTACTTCAAGCGGCATCACGTCAGTAAACGTTTTTCAACAACTCGGCCACACAATCAGGCACCTCTACCGTTACATCAGGTTTCAGCTCGACTAAAGCAAGAAGTATAGTTTCATTACCCTTCTTCATTCTTTTGTCAATTGACATAGCAGACAACATCATTCCCCTATCCTTCTTCTTTGCAACATTATTGACTTTCCCAAATGGATGAACACCCTTTACAAATCCAACATTATCCTCATTCATAATCATTATTCCATCTAAATGTAAAAAAGAAACAAACTGGAATTTTCTCACAAAATCAATGCCAAGTATCATCTGAAAATCTCCTAACGGCATCACCATCAAGTTACGTTTTCCTACCCAATTTTCACTAATCATAGACACTCTATAAGTCATGCCCACAGTAGCTTGTGCCTTAGCATTCACTGTTTTGATGTAGGAGGGACTTTTAGTCAACTTAAGCCTTAATTTTGCAGCACTATTAACATTAATAAATGTATGAGTAGCCCCCGTATCAACCATAGACATCACACATTTTTCTTTTATCTTTATTTCCAAATGAATCAATAAAGCATGTGGATTTGAAGTTTAGAAGTCCCTTCAACATTATTAACCAATGTAATATGATTGAAAGAAAAACCTAACGGATTGGCCATAGCAGTCGTGACTCCTTCTCCTTCTTCATCCTGATTCACCTTTCCGGCAAGCAAAACATTCACTCTTTCTCTGTTTGGACAAGATTTAGCCAAATGAGGACCACCACAAGTCCAACAACCTTTCGAATTACTATCCTAGTTCTTTGGCTTGTTTTCTTTATTTCCTTGCTTCATTGGTATCTTCTCTTTATCATTAGCATAGTCTCTACGATTCTCCCTTTTCCAATCCCCTTTTTTCTCACCCTTTTTCTTGGATTTAGAAGTAGAAGGGACATCAGTAGTCGGTCGAGTCGTCCTGAAATCTACTAACAAATCAACAGCAGCAATTGCCCCCTGGCAAAATCCTTGACATTCTGCCTTCGAAGTTCGTTTTGAGCCCAGCCTTGCATACCCGAAATGAAGTTATGTAATTTATCCTCATCAGACATATTTTGGATGTCTAATATCACAGAGGTAGATTCTGTAATGTATTCCCTCACCAAACCCGTCTGCCTTAATCTCTTAAACTTGTCCCTTGCAAGCCAAGAGGTGTTGCTAGGAAGAAATTGGTCACGCATTTCTTTCATCAATTTATCCCACGTATCAATTTTGGATCGTCCAGCACTTACTTCATCTGCATTTTGAGTTCTCCACCAAAGTTTAGCGTCACCCATCAAATACATTGTGGTATTGTTTAACTTGTCAGTTTCAGGCACCCTTGCAGTAGTAAAGTACTGTTCCATATTCCAAATTAAGTTTTTCAACTCTTTTGCACTCCTTGCACCACCAAAGGCTTTAAGTTCCGGAATTTAGACAATTCCCCACGATTTAAACTTAACACTGCCACAGCCCGGCATAACACAATGATCTCTGCACGAAGATTTTCGTTATCTTTATGCAGTGACTCCAATTGTGCCTCCATAGCCTCGTGAAAATTCAAAGTTTCAGCCATGTATTCATCAACAAGTCCTTGAAATACACAAGCATCACCTCAAATTTTGTCAGCGTCCTGTCTCGAATTAACAATCTGCATCAGAAGATCAACCAACATTGGGTCTTCCATTACTTCATTAGTAATCCCAACAAAGGCTTCAACCCTGCGCACTATTTCTCAAAGTTTTGCATTCGTCACCATCGTTCAATCACTTTTTGATATCAATTGAAAGAGGTTCAATTTTTTTTATCTAAAACCACTCCCAAGCAGTCTACAACTCTTTGCAAACTTCAGCCTTACATTCACACAAATTTAATTAAGTATAGGAATTCTTCACTTAGTATTATTTAAGGCAAACAATAATCGTAACAGCAGAGCCAACGTATGGAAACTCTTCCCAACCTTTTATTAATAATAAATCAATAAAGGATAAGGCTTCACAAATTCGTCTAAGGACATATTCGTTCTTCTTTACCTTAGACGAATTTCCACCCTTTTATAAAATTTCTGCACATGGCAATTACATGCGGAGTTACAAACGACAGTTACAAGCGACACCTGTCCGACTTGTCATAACAGAATTTAAACTAATGTTTCCAATAGCTATATTTCTAACAGATAGAATATAATTCAAATTACATCCTTATCCAAATGAAATAACAATATTCTAACACTTAGAATATTTCAGTCTACATTCCAACACTTAGAATATTTCAGCATGCTTCCAACACTTGGAATATTTCAGTTGTCCTCCAACACTTAGTTTTATTTTAGTAATCCATGTGAATGCCTTTGTCTTGCCATCGTCAAGTCTTCAAAACCTTGCTTTTTCAAGCCAAAACACTGCCTTTCAGATGACTCTTGCACACACGTAAGCCTTGCATGTTCAAGCTACTTTGCCAACATCCAAGCACCTTGAACCTTTGTTGCACTGTTTTGCCCCCATGCATGCCAACACCAATGGTAAGTCCTTGTCATGCCTGCACATAGTAGATCAAATAGTTTACGGGTCTAACAGTAGCTCACGTTAAGGCATTCTAGTAGTAGAGTTAATTTACTCTCGTTTGTTACTAATTTAAACCTATTTATGATTTGAAAAAAATCAATTAGGCACAATAAACGTGCTTGATATACATTTACTTATAATTATACTCAAATTTGTTAGTTTTTTTTATATATTATGTTATTATGAATTATTTTTAATACTATAAACACTAAAGAAAATCATTTTCACTTCATAACATTCTTCCTGTTTTCATTTCATAACTTTCTTCTCAATTCTTCGTTAGCATTGATTTGCTCCTTTTTCACTAGTATTATGAGATGATGAAGAATTAGCATAGGACTTTACTTGTGAAAAAACATTTGTTCAAATTCAAGCTAGAAAAATAGGCATTATTAGCAATATATCAAATTTATAGTACTCTTATTATCTGTTGCAAGTTTGTGCATAATTATAATGTAGATTTAAATGCAATAATTTTATCTTTTATGAGGTGAATATTTTATTGTAAATTTGGATTTTGCTAATTCTTATTGGCTTGAAGAATATGCTATTATAATGTCATATATCAATTTTGTTATTTTTTTTTATCGAATAATTACAAGCTTGTACGCAATTGATGTGAATTGTAGTACAATAAATTTATTTTTGTGGGTTATCTTTCCTATTGTATCTTTAGAAATAATTATATTAGTTTCTCGTATTGAAATTGAATTGATTATGTACATGTTCCCAATAGGCCAAAACAAATGCCATCCTCAAGAAATGAGGTAATTTTTTCATCTCAAAATAATCTATATATAATATAAAATAGATCAGAAAAGTGATGTAACATCTTTTTTTGTTCTAAAAATTTCTTTCATCTTTTATTTTATTATTATTTTTTGAATATTCATTCATCTGTTGGGTATGTAGCAAGAATTGATGGGAAATAGAGGAAACGAGAGGAATTTGAAAAGTTTAGAACTTGAAAGGTTGGGAACTTGAAAAGTCCTTTAATACTTTAACGAAAAAGGCAATAGTCCCTCATCGGTAATGAAAATGAAAATAGGAGAGTTTAAATAAATAAATACTCCTATTAATTGTTAAAAGGGTTGGAAAGAGGGACCTCCCTCGCGCCGCCGTCGTCGCTCGCTCGCTCGCTTCCGCTTTGGCTTCGGCTTCGGCTTCGGTTTTGGCAAATCATCGATCGAGAGATATTTTTTTGGACTAATTTATTTTAATTATTTATTTAATTAATTTAATGGCCAAAAATTATTTTCAATTAATTAGTTGATAACAGAAGTTAACCGAAATATTTTCAACTTTTTAGTTAACCCGACCCAACTTTGATCCGCGCGCGTGACCCGTTTTAAATTTCGTTATATTTAAAAATTCCCGCCATGACTGTTCTGAAAGGTTGCAATTTTCAGGAACAACCAATACCATTTGAAAGTTTGCAACCTTTCATTAATGGTCGTGTCAATTCTGAAAGGGTTGCAACCTTTCAGAATATATTCTTCTTGCCTACAAATACCATTCAGTCTTCAGAATATTTCCCTACGAATTTTATGATCTTCCTTCTTCTTAAAAACACATATTTCTTCGTGTACTTTCCTGCTGTGGATTGATTCGCTGACAGTAGAGTTTTTGGTATCTATACTCTACTGATTAAGATCATTTTACCCTGGGAGGTTATATTCCAAATCAAACCTCGGATACTAGAGGGGAATAATTTCCTTAAGGGGACACTGTGAATTCAGTGGACTTGATTTTCTTCCTAAATTATCAAAAAGAGTATTCCAGATTCTGGTAAGTTTTACAGATTCAATTATTTTTAGAAAAAATAAATTTCTATTCATATTATTTACTGGTTCTAAAAATCTTAGTAACTTCATGTTTCTGACTGATTTATTACAACCAGTAATTTCTGATTTTCATAACACAGATTGGCAACAATCTTAAGGAAATTATTTAAATCTGTGTTTCTTGTGGAGATAAAAATCTTTGTGATTTTATACTTCTTTAAGTCTGCAATTATAATTTATTGCTTACTTATATTGTATCAATTTTATTTATCAGAAATGGAAAACACTGGTGTTACAGTGGCTGTTGCTGCATCAACCCGAACTCTTGTATCACAAGCGGAGAAACCGGGTAAATTCACAGGTGTGAATTTCAAAGGATGGCAGCGACGAGTATTTTTCTGGCTTACCACTCTTGGTCTGCAGAAATTTACAAGTGAAGATACTCCAGTTCCTGCTGATGATATGCCAGACAGGGAAACATTTATGATTGTTGAAGCATGGAAACAGACAGACTTCCTATGTAAAAGTTACATTTTGAGTGCTTTAGAGGATGACTTATATAATGTATATAGTGCAATAACAACTTCAAAAGAGTTGTGGAATGCACTTGAGAAGAAATATAAGACAGAAGATGCATGCTTGAAAAAGTTTGTGG